TGGTCTCCCAACCAACTTTTGAGAACAGGCATCTCAAATTGGGGACCATTATCAAAAACCATAGACATGGGCACCCCAAACCGAGTGATGACATTTTTCCAGATGAATGAAATCACATCCTTCGTCTTGATTCCCTTAACAGCCTCTGCCTCTACCCATTTGGTGAAGTAGTCGACTGCAACAAATATGTACTTCCTGCCGCCTGTAGCAGGCGTATAGGGACCAAGGATATCCATGCCCCACTTAGCAAACGGTAGTGGGCTATGGATGGCAGTGAGATCAGTAGCTGGACGGTGAATTAATTTGCCAAACCTTTGACACTTGTCACATTTTTTCACCATCTCCATTGCGTCTGCTTTTAAGGTAGGCCAGAAATAACCCTGTCGCCTTGCTCGTTGAGCAAGCGACCTGCCGCCTACATGAGAGGCGCATTATTCAGAGTGCAGATCTTCTAAGACCTCTCGCCCTTTTTCTGGGGTAACACATTTCAAGAAAGGTTGAAGGTACCCTCTCTTGTGGAGTTCCCCTTTTATCATCTCAATACTGGACGCTCGCTTTTTCAGTGAGGCCACCTGGTGATGATCATCCGGCAAGGTGCCATTTGTTAAGTATGCCCTGATTGGGTCCATCCAGGTGGAACTTCGATCCAGAACCCCAATAGGATCTTCTTCAATACTTCTCTTCTCTATAACCTCCTAGAAGACGGTTCTTGGAGTATCACAGAAGGCCGAAGATGCTAGCTTTGAAAGAGCATCCGCCTGATTATTTTCACATCTGGGCACCTGAGTCAGATGAAACTCTTCAAGGGATCCGGCTGCCTGTCGTACCGCCTGCAAATATTTGATCATGGCCGGATGAGTTGCTTTGTATTTGCCATTATACTGACTCACTATCAATTGTGAATCAGAGTAGGCGTCTATTCTTCTTGCTCTAGCCGCCTTGCACATGCGGATTCCAGCCAGTAGAGCTTCATATTCTGACTCATTGTTCAAGGCTTGGAAGTTGAAATGTAAAGCATACTCATACCTGTCGCCTTCTGGCGACTGACATATGACGCCTGCTCCACAACCATTTGAGGTGGAGCTCCCGTCCACATAGACCTTCCAGACTTGGCCTGGAATTTGAGAATCAGAGGGCCGAGTCATCTCTACAATAAAATCAACAAAGGCTTTCCCCTTTACTGCTTTCCTAGGCTCAAATGTGATTTCAAGGCTCTGAATCTCTATCGCCCATTTGATCATCCGACCTGACGACTCTATGGTTGTTAGTGGCCGCTTGATTGGCTGGTCTGTGTATATGACGACTAAATGTACCAAGAAGTAAGGCTTCAACTTTCTAACGGCCATGAAAAGAGCAAGACCGAATTTTTCCACTAAGGGGTACCTCAACTCGGCATTCTTCAACACATGGCTGACAAAGTAGACCGGGAGCTGGCAGCCGTCTCTTTCAGCAAGGAGGACGGCACTTAGAGCATGGTCAGATACTGCCAGATACATGTAAAGCACTTCTTTAGGCAGGGGACTGACCAGCCTTGGCAAGGAATGCAAGTGAACTTTCAGTTTTTGGAAGGCCGCCTCAGCATCCGGCCCCCATTCAAACCTTGCTTTCTTCTTTATTACCTGAAAAAATTAAAGGCACTTATCGCCTGACCAGCTGAGAAGTCTTCCCAAGGCCGCCAGACAACCTGTTAACTTCTGAACCTCTCGGACGGTGCGGGGCGACTGTATGTCAATGACCGCCTGCACTTTCTCAGGGTTCGCCTCTATACCTCTCTGATTGATGAGGAATCCGAGAAACTTCCAAGACTCAACCCCAAAAACACACTTCTTAGGATTAAGCATGACATGGTGCCGCCTTAGTGTGGTGAATGTTTCTCGGAGGTCCGCCAAATGGTCCGTCTGAAGCTTAAACTTTACAATCATATCATCTATGTATGCCTCGACATTCCTTCCAATTTGGTCAAAGAAGACCGTATTTATCATCCTTTGGAAGGTGTCCGGGGCGTTCTTCAAACTAAACGACATGACCGTATAACAATATAGCCCTTGATCAGTGACAAAGGTCGTCTTCTCCTGATATTTCTTCCACAAAGGAATCTGATGGAAGCCAGAGTAGGCGTCCATGAAACTCATTAAAGCATGGCCGGCTGTTGAGTCGACCAGGCTGTCAATTTTGGGCAAAGGATAGCTATCTTTGGGGCACGCCTTGTTCAAATCAGTGTAGTCCACACACATTCGCCAGGTACCATCCGGCTTCTTTACTAGTACCACATTTGCAACCCAGTCAGGGAAGTAACATTGCCGAATGATCCCTACATCAAGTAGCATTTTAACCTCGGCGGCTGCCGCTTGACTTCTTTCTTTACCATGGTTCCGCTTCTTTTGCCTGACCGGCTTCTTTTCTCTTTTTCTCATCTTTATTCGCCGACTGCTTTGGTCGGCTTTCTTTTTTGTCAGACCTCCTTCCGTCCGACTGCTTTCCAGTATTACAGAGATCAGTCGCCTGTATATAGGCTTCAGCTTCAATCCAAGCTTCTTGGAGACTCGTAACTCGTTTTCGGACCAGGTCAAACTTGAAGGTCGACCCATCCTTAAGACCTTTGAAAAAATTAGTGTAGGCTACCTCATCCGGCATCCCTTTAATTTGAATCCTCATCAGGTTGAACAGCCTGATGTATGAACGGAGTCCCTCCTTTTCACCCTGCTGAATGGTCCCTAAATCAAGGGTCGTCTTCTTTGCAGGAATGTTCATAGCAAAATTGGAGGTGAGCAAGTAGGCAAGTGTCCTGAAATTATTCACACAACCAGTCGGCAGGTTGCCGAACCATTGTTGTGCGATTCCCTTGAGAGTTGCTGGGAAACACTTACACCAAGTGGGATCATCCAACCCTTGAAGGTACATTAGGTGGTGAACGCGATTAAGTGATCTTCAGGGTTAGTAGTGCCATCATAGGCGCCTACTAGCACATTCTTAACTTTGGCCAGCTGAGCGACCTCTGTAATTTCCTTGGAGAAGGCGGACGGTTGTTCTCCAAGTCTTAGCAACCGTAGTTGCCAGTCCAAAGGTTGGACGTTTTTTGCCGCCTGTCCTCAAAACAAAGGAGGCTGCAAAAAGTATTGTTGTTGCGATACATATGGCATGTTTGGTACCGCCTGCTCTTTATGAAATCCAGACCGACGGGAGGTACCGCCTGTCTAACTCTCATAATTTGACTGAGTATACCTCATAGTGGTATTGTGCAGACTATCTTGGAAGTCTGAAGTGGAGGCCGACTCTGACAGTCGGTCATTCTTCTTCTGCTCTAGCAACAACCGAGCATCTGAGTATGTTTTCTTTGACCCATCCGCTTGTACATGACGAATGGGCTTTCTCTTCCCTGGTGGAGGAAAACGATACTTTGTTAAGTCGATCACAGACGGCTCCCACTTCCTAGAGTTAGGGTGGGGGGTCGCCTCTCGACCATGTACAGGCTTCCTTCTTCCTGACTGAGAAGGTTTCCTAGCCGACTGCTCCTTAGAGGGAGAAGGCGTATTCTTATTAATCAATTCTTGGATCTCTCCCTTGAACCCCCTCATGAAAGTCATGAGTTCATTTCTTGTAATAGGAGCAGATCCTTCAGCCGCCTGTTGCTGATCAGCCGGTGAACCGGCTGGATTGATGGGTCCAGCTTGGTAATCTTCTTGTTCTTTCCTTTCGGTGTGACGGGTGCGCCGGGCCCTTAGGGTCCCGTTTGAGGCCGTGTGTGCTTTAACCTCAACCTCATTCTCGGTATCTTGGTCTGAGTAGACTTGGGGGTCGTCCTCTGGATTCCTCTCTTCTGGATTCGGTACAGACTTAGATGCCATCTCGAAAGTACTCTCCCCACAGACGGCGCCAAAATGTTTTGGGGTTTTCTGATGTCCTGCGGGAGAGTTACAATTTCGAGACTGGAACCGTGCGCCTGTACCTGCAAAACAACGGAGACTCCGGGTGGTAGGAGCTCCGCCTCCGACGATCAAGTTAGTACTTGCTTTTAGGAGTAATAAATGCGGAAAAAAGGTAAAGTGTTTTCTCTAGGTGAGAGTAATTAATTGGCTTCCTTCCCCTTAATGAGGATTAATAATGGTATTTATATGTCTTGGGATGCGTGCCAGTCCTAGGTTTAGGTCAACCTAGGGCTGATTGGGCTTCCACAAGTCTTTGGGCCTAGGTGGCCGGTTCTCCCATTTGGCATGGAGGAGGACACGTGTCGTAACACAACTATTTCATGGTGGACCGATCAACACCTGACACGTGGCAGGCTCCTATTGGCCCACGTGGCGGACACATGGCAGAACCTGATAGGTCCACTTGTTAGACGGTGATTGGTAGGGAAAAATCCCCTAATCAGGAGACAATCCAAGGGTTGCTTTGAAAGAATTAGGGATTCTAGGTGCTTATAGGTTCGAGAGCGAAAATGCATCGCCTACAACAACCGCAAGTGATTTTGAAATTTGACCGACTATGATCACTTTGATAGAAAGGAGGCAATTTAGCAGACCTAAGCATGAGAGCCCCCTAAATCATCTCAAGGAATTTGAGAAATATTGCAACACAATAAAAATCAATGGTGTGAGCCAAGAGTTCATTCTCTTGAAGCTTTTTCCCTTTTCACTCATTAGAAGGGCCTTAGAGTGGTTGGATAAGGAAGTGAAGCCCAATTCATTGAGGACGTGGGACATGATCACCAAGGAGTTCTTATCTCGGTTCTATTTACAAAAGAAGAAGGCGGAAGCTAGAGCTCTTATCTAAAGCATCAAGAAAATACCTAATGAGAGCCTTTATGAGGCTTGGGAAAGGTATAAAGAGTACCAAAGAGAATGTCCTCATCATGAAATTCCAACCTATCAAATCATCCATATCTTCTATGGAGGTTTGAGTCCATAAGGCAAGTCATGTTTGGATGCGGGGGCCGGTGGCCCTATCATGAATCATAGAAAGAAGAGGTGGTGGACATAATTGAGGATGTGGTTAGGCATTACATGGATTGGCAAGATGGGGAGAGAGAATCTCCAAGCAACGGAAGTGCGGTGTATTCCATCGACCACCTTAATGCCATAAACAACCTCACCTCTCAAGTCTCAAATTTAGGGAAAGAGATGTCTTCTATTAAAGCCAAGTTAGAGAGTGCTTCTTCTCAAGCTCCAACTCTTCCCTCCCAATTTAAGGGGAAAGGTACATCTTCTAAACCTACTCCCCCTTCCTCTTCTAATAACATGCCTAGTGGATTCTTGTTTTGTGATGTGTGTGGTTCATATGATCATGATGCATCTAATTGTCCTCACTCTTTTTCGGATGTATGCGATGACTTTAATGGTAATGAGAATGAGCATGTGAACTATGTGTCTAATAATAATGGATCACGATTTGATAATCAAAGAGGTCAAGTTAATAGGAATTACCACAACCATGGTAATTTTGACAACTATAACCAAGGTGGTGGTTATAGAAACCAAGGTTTCCGAGGTAACTATAAAAATTAAGGTTATAGTGGCTAAAATCAAAACCAAAGCTTTGGTAATCATAATTAATATTTCTTAAATCAAAATCAAGGTTATGGTAACCAAAACCAAGGGTACGGAAATCAAAACCAAGCTAAAGGTAATTGGAACAACCAAGGTAGGGGCAATTTTCAAAACAATTCACAAAGAGGCCCTCCTCCCGGTTTTGTTCCAAAGACCCAAGTTCAAAATGATAATTTCTATGTACCACCCTCTTCATATAGGTCTAATTTGGAAGAGATCATTGACAATCAAACCAAGTTGTTGAACACTTACATGGAGGTTAGTGATAAAAAGTTCAATGAGATGATGACCCACAACAAAATGCTTGAGAACCAAATCTCCTAACTAGCCAATGCTTGAATGACCATGCAAGCCCCTCTTCTTTACCCTCCCAAAGCCTAGACCTGTTAATGCTATTTTCACAAGAAGTGGTAAGTTTCTTGAGGATAGTTTGGCCTTGGAAGAGTAAGGCAAAGGAGGGCTCTAATAAGGTTTTGATTGAAGATGAGGGAGATGATGCACCCTTGAGTGAGATAGTGGTTGAGAAACCTTGTGAGAAGAAGGTAGAGAAAGAAGTTGTGAGACCTAAGCTTCCTTACCCTCAAAAGTTTTTAAGGCATAAATGGATGATCAATTCGGGAAGTTCATTGAGATGCTTAAGCAACTTCATCTTTCCCTACCCTTCACCAATGTTATTCACCAAATGCAAAACTATGTTAGGTTTCTCAAAGACATTTTGAGTGGGAAAAGGACTTGTGATGTGGTTGAAACGGTGAACTTTACCGAGAATTGTAGTGCAATCATCATGAAAAAATTCCACCTAAATTGAAAGATCTGAGCAACTTTTCTATCCCTTGCGCCATTTATAAGATGTTAATTGATAATGTCTTGTGTGACTTGGGAGCTAATGTTAGCCTTATTCCATATTCGGTTTATCAAAGACTTGAATTAGGGGAACTTTGGCCTACCAACATTACCTTGCAATTGGCCGATCGTTCGATTAAGTTTCCAAAGGTTAAGGTAGAGGATGTTCCTTTGAGGGTAGGAAAGTTTGTAATTCTTGTAGATTTCGTGATTCTTGAAATGGATGAAGATGCTAACATTCTTATAATACTTGGTAGACCTTTTCTTGCTACTTTGGGTGCTTTGGTTGATGTGAAGAGTGCTAAGATAACACTTAAAGTAGGAGATGAGGTCATTGAATTTGATTTGAATGAAAGCATGACATATCCATGTTCATCTTTGGAAAATTGCATGATGATTGATTCTCCAGATCAAGTTGTGACTTCTATGCATGAGCACTTGCTCACCTCTAACGATGCCCTTGAGAATGTCTTGTTGAATAAAGAAAAGATAGGTGTCCCAAGCAAGGAGATGGCATTGTATGAAGACATGCTTGATGGAAACATAGAGGAAGTCGATGAGAAAATTTGCATGGAAATCACAAGCCAAGATGCATTGCAAATGGCCACAATGAAGGAAGGTAAAGGTGTTTCAATGGTAGAGCTCAAACCTCTACCATCACACCTTAGCTATGAGTTCTTAGGCCCTAACTCGACTTTTCCCGTGATTGTGAGCTCCTCCTTGAGTGAGAGCAAAGCTCAAGAATTATGTGGCGTGTTGAGGAAACTCCAAGGCGCATTAGGCTATACCATTGATGACCTCAAGGGTATTAGTCCCGCCTTATGCATGCACCACATTACTCTTGAGGATGGTTCCTCACCGTGCATTGAAAGGCAACTAAAGTTTCGTCCTCAAATGGAGGTGGTGGTGAAGAAGGAAATCACCAAGCTCCTTGATGCGGGCATCATCTTCCCCTTTTCGAGCTCAAGGTGTCGGTGCACGTTGTGCCCAAGAAGGGAGGTATGACCGTCGTAGAAAATAATAGAGGTGAGCTCATTCCTACTAGAACGGTCACGGGATGGCGGATGTGCATAAACTATAGATGTCTAAGAACATCCACCAAGAAGGACCATTTTCCCCTTCCTTTTATAGACCAAATGTTTGAGCGACTAACTAGGCATAAATATTATTGCTTTCTTGACGGTTACTCCGGGTTCTTCTGACACCGTACTAGGTAGAGGTCGGATAGAATTAGCCAAATAAACCATGTCGGTTGACTACTCTGTCGATACAGCTCCACTTATTCCTATATACTGAAATACCACTAGGAACAATCGAGATAATCCTTGGATACAGAAACACCACCAAGGGGGTTAGGAGATTGAGCTCAACCTAAGAACACTCAACATGTTTAATTATATTTCATATGCAAAGCTTGAGTTTCACGGGTTACAACTATGTCTATTTATAGCCTTGATTTAGCTGTTGTTACAACTACTAGAATTCAATATAAGGTAGTTAATGGCAGAAGTTTTAATTGCAAGGTTGAAATTCTTCGTTGCCGACATGGGAGGGCCTTCGAGAAGCTACTTCTAGAATTAGGAGTAGTAGTAGTATTCAACCTTGTCAGAGTTAGTATTCACACCTTGTCAAGCTCCCCTTGTTGGAGAAGACTCGACCTCGAGTCTTAGCTCTTCCTTATTCTCGTAACATGGGGACAAATCAGAGACATTAAATGTAGCTGAAACATTGTATTCTCCCAGAAGCTCGATCTTGTATGCATTTTCCCCGATTTGTTCTAGTACCTTGAATGGTCCGTCAACTCTGAGCTTGAGTTTACCATGTGTTCCCCTCGGGACCCTTTCCTTCCTTAAATGAATCCTAACCATATCTCCTTCTTTAAAGTGGTTAAAAGAGGGTAGTGGAACAAGATCAACTAGCGTGGTTAGATTTACCATAGACAACTGACAAGCGCACTTTAGGGCGCGCTTTAGAGCATATTTTAGGATGATTTTGGATGTATTTGGGGCCGCTTTGGCCGATTATTACCTTGTTATGCTTACGTTCCCCATATTACGTGCTTCACGGGTTTTCGGTTTGTTTTTGATGTGTTTTCAGGTAATATCAACCGAGTTTAATCGGATCCCGAGCCCTTGATGCGTAACCGAGCTAGCCTTGACCGGAGTCCGAGGAGTTAAGGAAGTTCAAGTGCCGTGCATTGATTACATAGCACAGGCAGCACGGCCGTGTTACCATAGGCACACCCGTGCTGGCCTATAAGCAAGCAACCCCAGGCAAGGCAGCACGGCCGTGCAAGCCAAAAGCACGACCGTGTCAGTATCCACGCACCCGCACGGCCGTGCAGGCCATTAGCACGGCCGTGCCAGATGTTGCCCGTGCCCGTGTCAGCTTCAGTATGAGCCCCGTGCTAGAGCATATTCTGCACGGCCGTGTCATTTTTAGCACGGCCGTGCCAGAAAGCTGCACGGCCGTGCCAATTTGAAGAAGAAATCCGGTTTACTTACTGACAAGCTAGCACGGCCGTGCCAAATACAGCACGGCCGTGCTGATCCAGGGTTAACTGCGCGCTTGACTTCTCCGCATTAGAAGACGTATATAAGGCCAAACTTTAAGAGGATTCCTCAGACAGTTTTAGAGATAGTTTTGAGAGCCTTTGTAGAGAGTTATTGGAGAACGTTCTTAGTATTAGAGATTCATTAGTTTTCTTAGAGATATTTCTAGAGATTTTAGTTTTCTTGGATTGATTTGAAGCAAGATTTGCGAAGATTCTTTGTATTATTCATTGACGACGGATATCAAAGTTCTGAACTTTTCCATTGATTCGCATCAATACAATTGGTATTATTCATTCTTGTTTATTAATCAAGCTTTATTATTCCTTAATCAGAATTCATGTTTATATCTATTATGCTTTTGGAATTCATTATTGCTTTGATTATGAATATGTGTGAGTAGTCTCCTAGCTAGGGTTTCGGGATGAAACCCGGCCTCCGTAATCTATGTAATTGAGGATTGATTTTGATAAACGGATTGTGATTAAATTGATTATATGCGATTGCATGTTAATTCATTATAATAGGAGTAGCTAACCTAGAATCTTGAATTTGATTGCATGATATTCTTGATTTGAACAAGAGATTGTGAATTGAGTATTTCATTATTGAATGTGGTTTGATTATGTATCGAGTAATGTTAAGTGCATGAGAAATCCAAGCTTAGTATTTCCCGTTGTCTTCCTATCACATGATATTGATCAGACTTATAGTCTTTTCATATCCCGTTTGTCTCTGTGATTCCTTGTTGCTTAGTTACCAATGGTTAGGCGGATTCCCGTTCTCCCTAGTGTCTTAGTTTATTGATTTATTCCATCTTATTAGTAGTATTTTAGAACACCATTTTCCATTGATTTCGAACTAGCTTAGGTTTAAGATTGATTTGCAATTACTCTCGTTCCTCGTGGACCGAACCTTTATTTGCCATTGTACTTGGTTATAGGGTGTTCGTATAAGTATTGTTTGATTGAGAGTTAGATTGTAGCGACCGATTTAACCCTTGTCAAAATGGCGCCGTTGCCGGGGAACGGTGTTTGTCAATTGCTTTTTGATTTCTTGAGTCTAGTTCATCATAAAAAAGGCACAAAAAGATTTTTCCCTTTTGGCTACACTTGTAGCCCTGCTATTTAATTGGTTTGGTTAGTGTGTATGCGCAGGTCTAAACAGAGAGAATTAATACCCTTCGATCCAGAAATCGAAAGAACTTTGAAGAACAATCGTAAATCTCGATTGACGTCATCAAACTCTCAAGGAAAGGAACACAACACACAACAGGTTCCAATGGCAGACATACCGCGCCAACCCAATCGGCTAGCACCATGACCCCTTAAGGAGTTGGGAACTCCTGGGGCGTATAGAGCTTCAAGTGGGATTGCTCCACCCACTACTGAGGCCAATGATTTCGAGATCCGGCCGGCTATGATCACCCTCATCGAGAGAAGGCAGTTTAGTGGTGCCAAGCATGAGAGCCCTTTGGCTCATTTGAACGAATTTGAGAAGTACTGCAATACCATCAAGGTTAATGGGGTGAATCAAGAGTTCGTGAGATTGAAGCTTTTCCCCTTTTCACTTATTGGGAGAGCTCTCGAATGGTTAGAGAAGGAGGTGAAGCCGAACGCTCTACACACTTGGGATGATGTCACGACAGCATTCTTGGGAAGATTTTATTCCCAAAAGAAGACGGCCGATGCTAGAGCTTTGATCCAGGGATTTCGGCAAAGGAGTTGGGAGTCAATCTACGAAGCATGGGAAAGGTACAAGGAGTATCAAAGGGAGTGCCCACACCACGGAATCCCAACATATCAAGTTTTACAGATTTTCTATGGAGGATTGAGTCCTCAAGGGAAGACCAGTTTGGATGCGGGAGCAGGTGGCCCCGTTATGAACAAAACCGAAGAAGAAGTCATTGATATCATAGAAGATGTGGTA